TTTGAGAACACTCTGACAGTACCCAAACACAGGTTTGGGAATTTCAAGTTTTGAAAATTGAATTTTCCAAAAAAAAAACGAAAAAATCACAAAAATCGTCATATCTCGTACACTGAAATGACTTGGGCATTCATAATTGGAGAACACATTCGTCAATTTTGGGGAAACTCTGACAGCATACCACCATTGTGTTGCTAATTTTCAACTCGGTGGAACAAACACTAAATTCAAACTGAAAAATCGAAAAAATCTTGAGCTTCTCAATATACGATATAGCTCAACCACGCATAGATACGTTAAGCCCTTATCTGTAGCAAAAAACGCTTTAACATGGCAAGATACGTGTCGGGGCACACGCATTGAAGTATAGCATAGATTTTTTTTTGCCCGCAGACAGAATTTTTTTCTTTCCTTTTTCAAAAAAAATTAGCAGCCAAAAATTGACAAAAACTGATCCGGTTAAAAACCATTGCCAAAAAAATTGTTCGTGAAATTTGTTTTTGTTGGTATTACTGCTGTTTTTATATAAATCAATGTGAAAATTATCTCGGGCGTTTTCTTCCTTGCGTCCGATGATTTGTCATGAATTGCACAAATTGGCTGCTCGATTCAATGGTTATTCAAGCTTTTGTTTGGTCTAATTTGAAAATTGAATACAGAGGCTAATCGGAGCTTCCCATCACTTGCAAAACTTCACAAACATAGCATTGCAAATTACCAGACAGACAATGAAAGGAAAGCCAATAAGTAGAAAAAATCGAAAAACTTCAAAGCCACAACTAAAAACATTTCTAAATGGAATGCTGTTCAGTTTGAGGAGAAGACTCCCGGTAAATCAATAGCCAGCATTATAAAATTTCATAATTTATTGAACGGCAACTAAGCCGACAGAACATGGGTAAATTCCCGTAATGTTCTCATGAAAAACTTCTGAAATTCTAAAATTATACAATCCCTGCCCCCTTCCCCTCCAACCCCCCCCCCCCCCCCCCCACACACACACTCCGAAAATACAAAACAATTTTAAATTTTCCACAATTAAGTAACTCAGCTAAAATTAATAAATTTTGACGGAAAGAATCATAAGTCGAAACAATTAACTCGAGAAAAGAAAGCCCTACTTAGGGTTTTTCCCAAATTCATTTGAAAACTTTAGATAATTTGATAACGTCAGAATTTGTTAATTTTACAATAAAAATTCATCCACAATTTTGTTTATTCAAAATTAGTGTTGCAAAGCATGTGATGGATTTGTTAACTGTCCTCTCAGGTGCATTACTTATAAATTTTGTTTTAATTTAGCGGATGTTAATTTTATACCAGAGAAAAAAATTCTTCTCAACTAAATTTTTTAAAAGTACGCAAAATTTTGCCGCCAAAATATTAAGGTTCAAAATCTGTTGTAAAATTATTAGGAGCTCCAAAACATTTAGTTTATGAGATGTCAGTCTGAATATTTTTCTGAGTGTTCTTCTCTCGGATTATCTCTCATGATCGAGTCTTCATATAGTCAGATACACGTTTGGCAAAATCCACCTCATTTCGATGAAAAATTGGAAAACATTCGTTTTTTGCCCTTTTCTTCATTACTTGAAAACTAAAACATAGGCTTACATAGGCTAACAAGGGTAGACGCCAGATGATGAGCTGGTCGCGTGGTCTCTCTTCTACTAGTTGCATTTATTTCATTTATTTTTAGTAAAATTAACTAGCGTGTAACGCACCTCCGGTGCTTCGAGTTTTTGAGAACTCATAGAAAAAACCACAAATAAAGGAAAACAAAATTTGCAACCTCTGAGTATACTCTGACAGCACCCAATAACAGGGTTCGTAACTTCGAATTTTGCTAAAATTTTTTCGATGACTTTTTTTAAATTCAAATTAGGAAAGGAATTGCGAAGTTTTCTTTATCTAAGTTCTTTGAAAAATGTTGAAATGACATAAAAACGTCACATCTTGGAAGCTAAAAGCATTTGAGCAGAACCATTTGGACCCAAAATTTGCAACTCCTGAGAGTACTCTCTTAGTACCCAACTACAGGGTTAGGAATTTCAAGCTTTGGAAAAAACATTGAAAAGACAATTAAACTTCACGTCTCGAAAATTACAAAGACTTGAGCAGTCATATTTGGAGTCGAGATTCGCAAGCCATTCGAGTAGTCTGACAGACCCCAACTTAAGGAATGGGATTTTCAAAATTGAAGTTTTCTATAAAAAATTTTGAACAAATCACAAAAAAAACGTCATATCTCGAAAACTGAAAAATTTTGAGCAGTAATATTTTGAGCTGAGATTTGCAAAACCCGAGAGTTCTCTGAAAGCTTCCATGTAAAGGTATAAGAAATCCAAAATTTTGAAAAAAAAACATGAATTTATGTTTTATGAATTTTTTTTAAAATCACAAAATAAAACGTGACATCTCGTAAAGTACTAAGATTTGAATAATCATAACTGGAAGTGAGATTCGCAACCCCAGATAGTATTCTGACATCCCCCAAATAGAGTGCAGGAAATTTCAAAAATTAAACAAAATATTTAAATTTAAGTTTTCTGCGAAATTTTTGAAAAAACACACAAAACGTCATATCTCGAAAACTAAGAGCATTCTAGCAGCCACATTTAGAGGCAAGATTTGGATCTTGAAATTCCTGAGAGTACCCTCACAGTCCCCACTACAATATTAGAAATTTCAAATCTTTTGATTTTTTTTAAAAACTAAGTTTTCTGAAAAATTTAAAATAAATCTTAATATACGTCATCTCGATAACTACAAGGATATGAGCACTCATATTTGGAGGTAAGATTCGCAATACCCTGACAGCGCCCAAACAGGGTTGGGAATTTCATGTTTCGTAATTTGAATTCTCTAAAAAAAAAAATTAAAATAACAAAAATCGTCGTATATCCTACACTGAAATGACTTGGGCATTCATAATTGGAGACCACACTCGCAACCTCTGGTGAAATTCTGACAGCATACGACTATTGTGTTGCTACCTTTCAACTCGGTGGAACAAACAATAGATTCAAACTGGAATTCGAAAACATCTTGAGCTTTTCAGAATACGATATAGCTCAACCACGCATAGAAACGTTAAGCCCTTAACTGTAGCAAAAAACGCTTAAACATAGCAAGATACGTGTCGTGTCACACGCATTTAAATACAGCATAGATTAATTTATTGCCCGGAGAAAGAATAAATTTCTTTCCTTTTTCAAAAAATTTGACAGCCAAAAATTGACAAAAGCTGATCCGGTTGAACATATTTGCCCAAAAAAATTTCGTGAAGTTTGTTTTTGTTGGTATTACTGCTGTTTTTATATAGACCAATGTGAAAATTATCTCTGGTGTTTTTTCTGTTGCGGCCGATGATTTGTCATGAATTGCACAAATTGGCTGCTCGATTCAATGGTTATTTAAGCTTTTGTTTGGTCTAATTTGAAAATTGAATACAGAGGCTAATCGGAGCTTCAGACGGACAATGAAAGGAAAGCCAAAAAGTAGAAAAAATCGAAAAACTTCAAAACCACAACTAAAAACTTTTCTAAATGGAATGCTGTTCAGTTTGAGAAGACTCCCGGAGAATCAATAGCCAGCATTATAAAATTTCATAATTTATTGAACGGCAACTAAGCCGACAGAACATGGGTAAATTCCCGTAATGTTCTCATGAAAAACTTCTTAAACTCTAAAATTATACAATCCCTGTCCCCCCTCCACCCCCCCCCTCACACACACACACTCCGAGAATACAAAACAATTTTAAACTTTCCTTTTTCAAACGACCACAATTAAGCAACTGAGCCAAAATTAATACAATTTTACGATTTGACGGAAGAATCATAAGTCGAAACAATTAAGGCCAAATAAAGCTTTTAAGCAAAAAGTACAAAAAACGTTAGAAATTTACAAATTACAAGAATCAACCAAAAACACTTCGCTTACAAAGAAATCGCTTGCCGCGCAAGAAAAAGCAGTGGCGACTAAGCCCGAAAAAACATAAGCAGACAAATAAAAAGCTGACATTTTTTGAAACGGAATATTTCCTATTTGAAAAAATAAGTCTTCAGATTCGAACCTAATAATAGGTCAGATTCGAACCCAAGATTTTCTCAAATTGAATTGAATTGATGATTTCTACTGCATCGGATATGGCATTTCAATTTTTTCATTTTCAAAATCTTGAGATATTTGACTACAAAATCAAAACTTTTCCTGGGCAAGGAAATGCTAGCTTTCTATTACAGGATTTCAAAAATTGTTGTACCTCAAAAACGCCACCAAAAACAAATATGCTATCTTGTATTTTTAACTTCAACTACATAAAACATATAGTCAATTGAGCAAAATACTCAGCTCAACAAATTTGAAAAATCCACATACTTCATCAAACAGCTAAATATTCATTTATACGTTAAGTTTTCAGACAAATAAGTTTTCAGACAAAATAATCGGTTTAAGCTTTGTTAGACTCAGTAAAAACTGATTTTATTCCATTTTGATTAACTTGGCTGGCTAGAATTTTTTTTCCTTTTATAAATGATTTTTTGAGCCAGTTTTTTAAGTGAAACTTTGAGTCTCTTGAGTGCGTGAAAAGAATTATTTTTAGCGTGAAACTTTAGGTTTAAAACATTCAAATTATATTTTATTATTTTAAATCTCGCAAAACTCAAAGCAACTTTCGTCCCCATCGTATTTCGTCTTATGTTAACACACATTAGGAAAAACACGTCTTGAATTTCTATATTTTTCCAGATTATTCAAATCAGCACTGTTTTATGATGAAAAGTTAAAACACCATAGCTTAGAAAACACCATACCTTTTTAACCACAACTCTTTTTATCGTCAAAACTGGACCTAGAATTTCTAAATGAGATCGTGATTAATCTAACATTACAGTTAATGAGCACTCACCTATCTTATAAGAAATGGAATATCAGAAAAAATTGTTAGACGCTTCCGATGACTTTCCGCACAATATTCTTATACGAAAAGGCTGTTTCGAATATCTGATTGAATTAACTATAAAGTTTTTAACTTTTCATCTGTTAGAAATTAATAAATTGGCTCCTGTGGTATCCGAATTTGTCCATGAGCATTTCTCTCAGCTGGAGGACCCAACTCCACCGCCCACACAGAAACACCATGTCATCTTTCCTCGCAGCTTTGATGGTCTTCGTAATGTGCACTTCTTTTAACAATCCAGTGTAGTAGTTCCACCTGATAACAGATTAAACCCTACTCGATGAGTTTTCCCCATGCCGAATTATGAATACATTTATAAGAACCATTCTATCTTGCCTTCCTTCCATTTTTGTTCCGACCCCATTTGAGTAAGGAGGAACTTTGTCTTCTAGTGTTTTTGAGTTTTTTTGTGCCGACCGTTGAAAATGGGGAGGCACTTTCTATTCCGGTGTTTTAGTTTTTTTTCTTTTCTTTTTGTTTTCTACGCAAATTCAGATATCACAAATAATCATCGAGCATGGTCGAGTGATATATCATATTAAAGCCCTTATAATCGTGATTCAAACTTCATTTTAAAAAAAATTCCGAATGTCGAGAAAGACCGGTTTGAAATTTTTGATTTTTTATCTATTTTTGAACGAGTAAATTTTCGAACGAGTAAAATTTTAAAATTTAGACTAAAACACTTAATTTTACTAAGAGAAAAACTAGTTTTTGAAGGTTGACTTAGCTCTACAAAAGCTTCAAAAAAATTCTTCCAAAAATAATTATAATTTTAGTGCAAAAATTGGGGGAAAAAATTTTAAACAAATTTCGAAAACTTTTTTCATGTTTCTTATTTATTCAATTTTAGAAGCCTATTGGATTCCTTTATGCCCAATTCACTAAATTTCTACGCTTTCGTATAATTTTATCGTCACACTACGTACCAAAAGACATTAACTTGAAGAAAACAGAGAAAAGCTTTTTTTCCCGAAGATGTGGCCGGAACATTCTCTGCTACTTGCAGAGCAAACGGCTATGCTTGTTTCTTTTTTGTTTTTCACGCAAAATCAGGACTCACCAATAATCATCAGAATGGGTCGAGTCATGTACCAAATTGAAGCCCTTTCAGTCGAGATTCGAACGACGGTTTCAAAATGTTTTCTCAAAACCGAGAAAAACTGATTGAAATTTTTGATTTTTATTTCATTTTTGAGCGAATAAAGCGAGCACTCATGTTTAAAAATCCTGAGTTTAAGCCCTGAGAACTCAATTATACGCAAAGAAAATTAGTTTATATAGTTTCTTAGCGCCCTATTGGGAATCAACTTCAAAAATATTCAATAAATTTTCTGCAAAAAAATTTGAATAAAAAAATTGAACGTTTTTTTAATCTTTTTTGATTTTATTTAGCTTTTTTAGTATGTTTCTACAACAATTTTTGTCTAAATTTCCTATTTTACTATGGCTGTCGAATATGCCTAAATTATAGTTTTACGTCAGAATTTTTTATCAAACCATGCAGAAAAACACTAATTAGAAAAAATTATTTTTTTTTGTAGTTTCTTAGAGACTATGGTCGAAACATTCTGTGCTACTTGAAGTTTTTTATTCCAAAAAGGCGCTAAAACACTCAAAAACAACTAACGGAAAATTAAGATTTTTACGTATTAAGTTAAGCTATTGTAAGCTTTTAAGCCATTAAAACAAGCTATTGTAAGCCTGCTCCGAAACCGGTTTTTTTTTCGACACTGGAAAGATTTTTAATGTCACTCAAATCACGACTGTAAGGGCTTTAATATAAAATATCACTCAACTCTCTCCGATGAGTATTGGTGGTAGCTGAATTTGCGTTGAAAAAAAAAAGAAAAAAAAACGTAAACACACCCGAATACAGAGTTCCTCCCATTTTTCAAAGGGTCGGAACAAAAAAAGATTATCTTATAAGATAGCAAATCGAGGTAGAGTGGTAAAATGGTAATAACACGGTTCACCTGATAGAATAATTTGAAGTTTTACTGAACCGTAAAAACGACTATTTTCAATTTCGAGCAGATCGAACGAAGCATACCTATGCATAGCTGTGACTGGCACCCATTCAATCACATGGCTGAGGACGAACTGGGGGTGCTGTTTAACATGTTCAACCAGACGGGTTCGGTAGATGATGTCATCTTCTGTTCTGTTGCAGCAGATGAGACAGGCCTCGTTGCCCAAGGGGAGGAACTTGTCCAGTAGTCCCATCATAGGAGTCACTCCAGTGCCACCCACCAGCATCACCAGTCTCCTCAGATTGTACCTATCAATAATTATCAAAAATTACAGCTTTTGTCGAAAGAAGAAAAAACTTGAATCAAAAATTGTAATTTTTGAAACAAAATTTTCACAGAGATCGTTTCTTTGTAAAACTTTTTTTTACTTTACGTTCTTTATAAAGTTTTTCGGATATTTGCTGATATTAACTCCTCGGAAGTGTTATGAGACGTTTGACCCTGATTGTGTTATTTAAAAACAGAGTTGAAGTTGCACTTCGCATACACAAGCAAAAAATATGACCGAAATAGCTACTGGGAAAAACTGAATGATTAAAACTTTGAGTCTACAAAATTTCTTAAGTGACGCACGCCAATTGTGAGTCTACGTAATTGGTAAGTGACGCAAGCCAATAATGACGCATTAGCAGTACCAGTCAATCTGAAAAAAAAAGAAATTTAACAACTAACATGCCTTAATTTATAGAGCGGACGCATTTTAACTAGTATAAGAAAAAGTTCATTAAAAACATCCGACCCTACTCAGGTTTGAACCCTCTTCTTTGGTTGCGGGTCTCCTTCCCTACCTCTACGCTACAGATCCATGATACCTTGGAAGCCAAAGTGCTGTTTGTAATATCATACTATCACACAAGCTTTGCTTGTCTAAAGACGAAGTACAAACCTAGTTCCCTTCATCTCGACAAATCCCTTTCCGAGGTGATCAAGATGAGACACCGGCCCGTAGCTCTTCACCATATCCCCCTTTTTGAGCTTGTCCAGCATTTGGGTGAATTTGCCCCCCTGTGGATTGATGGAAGATTTCTGGTAGATCTTGATTGCAAAGAACAAGTCGCGCTTGTCATCTCCAACTTTCACTGGAACAAACTTTTACCATTATTTTTTTCCATTTCTTTTATCGGCTGATGTGGATTTTTAAGGCTGAGGCTGCAAACTCTTCATAACTCTTTAAAAACTGATCGAGATAACTTTGTTTTTTATAAACTATCAGAGCCAGATTCTGTTAGCTTTGACTGCGTGGTGAGAACAAATACGATACGAGAGAACATCCGGTAAAACTGGACAAGAATACCATGCTGCCGTGCTTGCTTGAAATCTGAAGCTTCATGAGCTACTTAATAAAATGTATATACAGAGGTGAAGCAGCGCTTCGCAAACGCAAGCGAGAAAACGATAAGAATCAGCTCTGAAAGGTGAAACACAGAGGCGAAGCTGAGCTTCGTACCACTTGCCATACACAATAAATCTCCAAAAATCAAAAGATAATGCTGCTCCAACGTAATTGAACTTTGTTGAAAAATCACGTAGGCTAAAAAATCACGAATTTTTTTTTGCAAATGTTAAAGAAATTAGTTACCTTCAAAACGAAAAAAAAAAAAGGATTTGGGCTTAACTCTATCCATTTCTTTCTAATAAACAATAGATGAAAACGATAAGAAAACATTTCAATCAAAAAACTGAGATACCAAAAAAATCCCCAATGTACTCGAAATCAGCTCATTAAATCTTGCAACCAAATAATCTGCATATCTAACAAGAACAATCGGGGGTGAAAAGCCGTATCCGCTAATTGCTGTATTATAAGACCAAAAAAAAAACGAAAAACAAAATTTCGAAAACACGAATGCAACGATTAAAAACAATTGACACAGAAAAAACTTGCTAAAAATCTGAAAAAAAACTCTGAAAACCTATGAAAATAACCCAATTACATCAAGAATTATCAATTATGAATACTATTTGCAACGGTAAAAAATCTAGATCACAGAAAAAACATTTAAAAAACGCGAAGAAAGGACTTCAATCAGAAAGACACATTACTTTGCAGACAAAACAATCAAGTCAATCTTGCAAAAAAAAATCTGGAAATTTATCTTTTTTTTGACATATTAAGACAATACGTTAAAACATCAATTTCAATCGATTTCAAATAAAGTTGCTCGAACCTAAAACACACTTAAGTAATTAAAACTTAAACTAGTTTCACGCACTTTTAGAGCAAAAAAAATCAGAAACCCTGTATCCGAAAAAAAAATGGAAATTTTTTGCAAAAAAGAATTCCAGCAGAAAAATTCAAAAAAGTTTTAATTTTAACAAAAAATTTTGGCGCCTATGAAAACCAGAAAACCATGAACTATATTTAACCTCATGAAAATGAAGAAAAAAATACTTGAAAAATTTATCAAAAAAACTACAAAATTAATTACCGGCAAGTCAGTCGACAAAAATTGGGTCGAAATCAATAAAGCCGGCAAAAAACTTACCTTTAAAAATACTTTAGCTGTAAACCATTCAAAGCTAACAGAATCGATTCAATCAATGAAGCCAGCTTTTGAATTACAGCTGTTAGACGTGCAAGTTGGGTACAAATAGAGATGCATTTGGAGATGACCACAAATTTCAGTCATCCTGAGGACAAAGTTGTTTAGGGGAAAAAACTGTAGTAAGGGCTTATCGCAAGGGTAATAAGAAAAGTTAGAATTAAACCTCTAATCAGTAAAACTTTTGCTAAGAGTCGGATTCGAACCAACGACCTGGAGATTCGGAGTTTCACGTGCTCGCATCTGCGCCACGGGCCAATGAACTTATAAACACTAGCCACCAATGATGCTTTATATGCTAATAAATTAACAATGCTAATCAGCAAAAATCACACTTAATATAAATAAAACTGTACTAAGTCGGGGCGTTGAACCTCTCCCAAGTAGCCCTAGAATCTCACGTTTTTTCCTCTGCGCCAGTTACCCTTGACTAACGTCAAACAGTAGCCACCAATCAGAAAGACAACATGCTATGAAATATCCAATGCTATAGATTGTTATTATAGCAAGCGCCACCAAATGAGAACTTGTCTAATCGAGTTAGATTATTCGCCAGATCACTCGTGTTATTCATGAATGAGTTAAAGTAAAAACATAGACCGTGAAAGTACATGCGTCAGTGTAGAGAATTTTTTCAAGCAAAAGAATCAAACCAGTTTTATCGACACAAACTTTTTTAATCAATCAATTATAATTGAAAGGGTTTTATTACGGTACACCACAAATTATATTTTGAGACCTTGTTTTTAGTGGAAAAAAGCACTATAAAACAAAATTTCTCTCCATTTCGTGGTCGCAACAATGAATCAGAACAAAAAACATTCTGAAAATTCAAAAGAAGTAATTAAGCATTGATACGTCATTTTTTGCAAAAACCAAATAGTTCTACCTTGACAAACTTCTGACAAAACTAATTTCTGACAAAAAAAATGGGATACCAAAAATTTATTAAATGAAGTTTCGATTAATAATAATAATTTAATGTGTATTATAGGGAACCTACATTTTAAGAACTAGAGTCTGTTTATTCACAGAAAACTTTTTTTTACAAACTCTGACCATTCTTGAATTAAAACCTTCGATTTAGCTTGGTTTCTCACGCCGCCGATAACCACTTTAAGGCCACAACTCTGTCGATTCATGAGATGATGGCGCATTTTCTTATTTGTCAAAGAAGAAGTTCGATTTAACTTCATAACAGTTTCAATCCATGCAAGTTAACTTTTTATTGTTTTACTCAACGCTGAAATTATTCCATACAATAGTACGCCCGAAATCCCAACTAACTGCTATATCTGTATGTTGAAGCGCAACTTCAGCCAGATACATCAAAACTTAAAGCAAAATAAATGAAAACAAGAGCTTTACAAAATCCTGGTAATCGCTTTTTGATCAAACATTAAACAGTATAAAATTACTACTGAAAACTAGATATGTTGTTGTAAGCCCCCAAGGGACGCGTCCGGCATGCTCATACCGAGTCCTAGAAGCTGTGTTCTTGGAACAGTTAAAATGTGTAAAGTGGTGTGTGGGAAGTACAGTGGGGGCAGTTTGGAGGGAGATTTGGGTCTTATCCGATAAAGTAAGTGTTTAGGAAGGGACTATCACCGGACCTCGATTAAGCAAGGGACGAGATTCTTCGAGATGTTTGAGTGACGGTACTTTCGGGGGAGGTGCATCTGCAATAGCCTGCTCCACACTTAGAGTCGGTATTTATTTTAAAACCGATTTTTAATTTTAGGAGGGGAAAAATCCAAGTTCATTAAAAACGTTTAAAACGGTAAAACATGCATTAACTGAGTCTTGGAGGATGATTTCAATTATGGGACTATAGTGTCGGATGGATACTCCGGGGAGTTTGGGTTGATGGTGATAAGGAATATATGTTTTCAGTGTAAACTGCGCAGATAATAATTGATGATGGTGAGCAATATTTAAAAATTTACATTCTGAATGCCAATATTTTGGGGAACTCATTTTGTACAACCCGTACAACTCTTTATAGTGCGGGGAGCGGTGTTTTCAACTACTTCCAGTTTGTTCAAAGACGTACAACTGGCGGCATGGGTCCATGCTGGGCATGCGTAATCTAAAATTGGTCTACCAAAGCCTTGTAGGTTACCATTAGCGTCTTTTTAGATTGACCCATTTTGTCCCCAATAGTCGTTTGCGTACCATTGTAATTTGACTTCGTGGGTGATAATGGCGCATCATGAACGTAAAAGTAGGTGATAGGACTGAGCCTTGAGGGAAACCTGTGAGAACAATCCTAGATGTTGAGAATGCATCCCTAAAAAGTGTCTTCGCTTGGTGGACACTAAAATAGTTAAATAATCATTTGGCTGAGTTTCTTGGTACGCTGGTATCATGAAGGAGATCCAGGAGAGTTCGATGACAGACCATGTCAAAAGCTTTAGTTGAGTCGAGCGTGGCCAAAACTGTTCTAGTTGGTGGCCTTTATTGTTTAAAACCGTCATTCACAAAAAAAAATCGAGGACTGATATATCCGTAGTGGTTGGATCCATCTGTAGAAAGCCATCTATCGAAAATCTCTGGTCGAATTTCGGTAGATGTTTGGCTAGGGTAGGATGAAATAACGATTCTTTAACTTTCACAGCTGGGCTTGAAATAGATACCGGTCGGTTATATCTGACGATTTGAGGTCTTTATTTGGTTTAAGAAGGGGAACCACTTTTGAATTTTGCCATATTTGAGATATGATGTTGAGAGAAAGAGAGAGGTGAAAAATGCGTGTTAAAACATTAATAGCTACCGGACCGATATGTTTCAGATGAACCGTGCATAGACCGTCTGGTCCTAGGTCTTTTGACGGCTTCATTCTTTGAATACAGTTCTGTTTTACCAAACCTAAAACCAAATCTCAAACCAAACAACAATAGCCTGTTACTGTACAAGCAGCAGAGAAAGTTTCGAACATCGTATTAAAATACAACAAAAAATTTTTTTCGAATTAGTGTAGTTTTTTTCAGCGTGTCTGATAAAAAGATCTGAAAGAAAAACTGAAACTTAAGAAACTTCAACAACCATAGAAAAATAGGCCAATTTGAAAACAATTTTCGTAGAAACATAACTAAAAAAAAACAAGTAATCAAAAAAATTTTCAAAAAAATTTAAATTTTTTTGTAGTTTTTTTGAACTTTTTGATTCCAAAAACCGCTAAAATTCTAAAAAAGACTAGTTTTTTTAACACTGAAACTTTTTCAAAATTTTTAAAAGTAGTTTTGAATCACGACTGTAAAGGTCTCAATATGATATATCAATCAAATCTCTCCGATGATTATTTGTGGTAGCTGATTTTGCGTGGAAAACAAAAAAAGAACCAAATTAAAACACACTCGAGTATAAAGTTCCTCACCATTTCTCAAATGGTCGGAACAAAAATCGATAATAAGACCAGGTGGATTACCTGACTAAGCACCAAAAAACTACATAAAATCATGTGTTATGTACAGCAGTTTGTATATACGAATATCCAAAATAGTTACTTTTGACAGGCATTATAAATAATGCTATTT